GTGTCTGTCTGTCAGTGTCTGTCTGTCAGTGTCTGTCTGTCAGTGTCCGTCTGTCCGTCCGTCCGTCCGTCCGTCGGTCCGTCGGTCCGTCGGTCCGTGTGTCCGTCGGTCGGTCGGTCGGTCGGTCGGTCAACCTGGGAGACAAATGAATAGAAATGCTACACGACCAGCGGAAAAGGGCGGACACCACCAGTGACGGACCTGGGAGACACATGAATAGAAGTGCTGCATGGCCAGTGGAAAAGGGCGGACACCAACAGTGACAGACCTGGGAGACAAGTGAATAGAAATGCTACATGGCCAGTGGAAATGGGCGGACATCATCAGTGACACAAAGGGCGGACACATCTTAAGAAAGAATTGAGAACCCTAACAATGAACTGTTCGGGGAATAAATACTAATACTTATTTTTGAATATTTATTATATATATATATATATATCTTCAAAAACATTATATTGAATATATTTGAGCGCTGTTTTTAATCTAAATGTAGTTGTAGTTGTTGTACGAGGGCCGGGAGTTATGTGGTAGTTGTTATTGGTGTTATTTCTATTTTGATTTGGTATGGATATTGTTTTTTGATTAGTATGTTTTTTTAATATCATAATGTTTGATGACTTGGAAGATTCGGTTATAATTCCGGAGTATAGATCGAGTTTATTGCTATTGATAATTTTAAATTGGTTAATTTTTTGGCGTGAAGATTATTATGTTTTTATAGAATGATAAAAATGTATATTTTTTTGTATGTGTTTATTAAAGTTTGTACGAAGGTTATTGAAGTTTGGGCGATGATTGATTATGGTTATGTAATGTATTTAGCTCGGATATATCGGTTTACACGATCTTTTCGTATGGTTTGAAAGAATGGTAAACGATTTATAGAGGTAGAAGGTTTTGAGTAATAGATAGTTTTTCGATTAAAATTGCCTTTTTATCGTTATTTATACGTATATTATAATTTGATTGCGATATTTTGAGGGTATTATTATGGAATGTTTCGCATAAAGCGCCATTTCTAGCTTAGATCCTAGGTAGCCGTTTTTTTTCACTACATGAGGAGTCGTAACCACGGTCTGTGAAAGTGGAATGTTTTGGTGGAGCGTTGCCTTTCTATGTGTTTTTGAGGCACAGCTGGAAGCCCCGGTCCCAATTCCGGGCAACGTGAGCCTGCTTCTTCATCACGAAGTTGTTTGCACTTGGCTCGTTTTGGGCGCGAGGATTGGTTTTATTACTTCTTGGGGAACCTGGAATGGGTGGATTATGGATCTCGATTAATCCCACCCCATAAAGTTTCACGAGGTATGGGCTCAGGTGGACCTCGGTCTAGCGCAGTCCAAATCTCGCGTCACCAACTTCAAACGAGCTTTCGTTAGAGCGTGCAAACAAAGTCTCACACATGGAGTCTCTATGTACAAGGGTCGACCCCTATATCCAAACCAGGTTCCTTGGCGCATTCGACAAACATGGCAATACCAACAGAATCACTCTGCCAATTGTGGCTGCTCTCTGCCTCGCACCGGCCCTTAGGCGGCCAGTGCCAAAGATCACCTCTTGCAGATCATGAATTGGAATGCCAGCCGGACGCTTCAATACGATGAGTTCCATGATTGGTGCACTGCTATTTCGTATAATTGCTTCATAATCCAGGAGACAGGCCGGTGTTTTTGAGGGGAATGGACTTCAAGCCATTGGCACTTCACTCATAACGCCGAAAAACACGCTTCAATTTTAATCATGATCCGAAAGACTCTTGTCCCCGCCAACCGAATATCCTTAGCCGTCCACATCCCTGGACGTTACATCCAGGCTCGATTCCATTTGTAACACTCCTACGATCTAATTGCCATATACCAACATTCATGGAGTTCCAGCAGGGGCACTCAGGCTCTCTGCGCTCGAGGATTGTGTCAAACATGTCCCCAACCACCACCTCTTGATTCTTGCTGGAGACTTCAATTGTCCTCTTCAAAAATTTTCCCCGGTTATCGGTAGCTGGGACCCCAAACCTTCGACGGCCTCTCAACGTGACCAGCCCGTGTTTCAGGAGATGATTGAACGTCTTGAATTTGTTGCAATGCACTGCCAATCCAATTGGCAGGCCACATTCGTTCATGGTTCACATGCCACACGCATTGATTTCATTTTCATCCGCCTGTCTCAAGTCCGACGTAACTCCATGAGTCCTCATTTGAATGATAAGTTTGAGCGTAATTTTGGGAACAATGGGTCCCAATACAGACCATTAGGCCTTTGTCTACCCAGATGGCATCCCACGCCACGGCTACGCCAAACTCCCAACCCAATCGATCGCTTCCGTCTTCGACAGGCCTGCGTATCCCAATCACAGCAGTGGATTGATTTTATTGCCGAGGCACGTTCGATCATTGCTCAATTTGACCATACCCACCACCACCCCTCTCCGGAACGATGTCATGATCTTGACCAATCCCTTCGTAATCTTTGCATTAAAAATTTTCCTAAGCCCACCCTGGGAATTCGACCTAACCAACCTCCACGCCTCTCCATATCGAGTCGCATGTGGCAGGCAAGACGTGAGGCAATGGCCGTTTCCCACAGGACTTTGCCGGATGTTTTTCGCAGTTGGAAGTGCCTGGCTTTGTATGCCAGATTGCATCGTCAAATCAAGCAGGCCAGCCGACAGAACAAGAAACAACGTCTTGAGCAATTTCTTCAAGATAGTGTACCTTATGGTCTTCAACATAATGCCTTCGATTGGTACAGACAGATCAGGAAGCTTTGTCCCAGGCAACCACATCGTAAGATCCAGTTGTATGACACTAGTGGTCAGCCATTGCCACCTAATCAGGAACTCATTCGAATACATTATTTTTTCGGAAACTTGTTTCATGACCCTGACTTCGAACCGCCCAGGTGTCCGCCACTCGAGATTGCAATTGATGCAGAGGACATCATGAAAGGCCTGAGCACTCTGCCAGTCACCAAAGCACTGGCTCCAAATGGATTGCCTGCAATGGTATGGAAGACCCTTGCCTTCGACCTGACCCCGATAATTTTTCGTACCATCCAAGCTACAAGGCTGTCGGGCTCCCACCATCCCATGGGTCAGCGGGCTGGTTGCATCTTCTCACCAAGCCTGGCAAGCCATGCAACACTCCCCAAGCCCTCAGACCCATATGCCTTCACCATCCGGTCAATGAGGTTGTTTCGGGTATTCTCACTCAACACATCATGCACCATGCTTTCCCCAAATTGAGAAATCTCCCATTGTATGCATACTTGCCAACTCGTAGTACCACTGATTGTCTTCTCCTGGTGTCTCAACACTGTCATCAAATCCGCAATGCTTGTCAAATGCGCCATACCAACCTTGATAAACAATCATTGATTGGGGGCCTTCAGATTTCACTGGACATGGAGAAGGCATTTGACTCCATCAGCCGTGATGTTGTGATCCGTGCCTTGCAAAGTCTGTCCATTCCAGATCCGGTTGTACACATGGTCCAATCCTGGCTCTCACCACGCATGTATTTTGTTCCTGTTCCTTTCAAGGATTTGGTTGGATCATTGCAAGCCAATCGAGGGATCCAGCAAGGTTTTAAGGGGGCACCGACTCTCTGGACACTATGTATGAGCTTGATAATGATGGACCTTCTTGCCAGATTCAATTTGAAATGGTTACATGACCATCTCATTGTTTTTGCAGACGATGTACATCTTCGATGGACCCTCCATACACCTCAGGATGGATTCCAAGCTCTGACAGATTTGTCCTTTGTTTTGAACTTGCTCAAATCCTACGGCCTGAGGATCGATACCACGAAAAGCGTGGCCTTGTGTCGTGTCATTGGACGATCTGCACCATCCTTCTTGAAAAGATGGATATGCCGCACGAAGATTGGCCCTAAATTCAGGGTGCCAGACCTTGAGTGGCAGATTCCGCTTGTGGCCAAAACCGGATATCTTGGGATAATTGTCAGTTATCGAGCCTAGGAAATTGACACCATACAGCGTAGAGTT